TGGTGGTGGCGGCGAGGGGTGAGTGGTGGTGCGAGTGGGTGGCAGGTGGGTGGTGACGGGGTGGCTGGTGGTGTAGGTGGGTGGTGGGTGGTGGGGCAGGTGATGGGGTGTGGGTGGTGGGTGGTGGTGGCGGAAGACGGTGGTGGAAAATGAGTGGCGGGTGGTGGCTAGTGTTGGGTGGTAAAAAAAAAAAAAAAACTCAAAACTCAAAACGGAAATACATTTTTTGAGTTTACATTTTTTGGCCAAATTTATAAACTAAAATCACTGATTTATAAATCAAAAATTTACCAAATAAGTTTTTATTTGAGTTTTTAAATTTTGTAAATATAAACTGAAAACGTAAGTGTTACCAAACGGCTATTATCATTAAATTATTCATAAATTACACAATAAATTCTCAGTATTTCTAGATCGATGTTAAGGGACTTTAAATACTATAAAATATTGAATGTCCTTTATATTATAAAATCTTAGTAGTAGAGACCTTAAAAAAAAACCCCTAAAAAAAAGTCTATAATGAAAAAAAAATAAAGGTACAAGTACCAAAAAAATCCCCATGTTTGAGTTTTGTAATAAAATAATTTTTGAATTTTATTAATTTAAATACTAATCTTTTGATTTCTTTTTAATTGAAATCATTAGCCTATTTCGTTAAGTAAAACCGATTGAAAATGAGTATTTTAGTCATTACAACCAATGTTGGTGTACATAAAATGTTTTAAATATTATTTTCATTGAGTTTAATGACTAAATACTAATTTTTCATTGATTTTACTTAATGAAAATTAGAAAATGATTTAAATTAAAAATAAATAAAAAATTTAAAGTTTAAATTAATAAAATTAAAAACTCAATATTTATTTTGTTATAAGACTCAAATCCTGAGTTTTTTTATTTTTTTATTTATAATTTCTTTAAAAATAAACAATTCAATACAATCATTATAATAAGTGAAAAATACTTTTTATTTTTTGTTTTAATAATGATTGATTGTACTGACCTCTAAGTAACTCATTGAGTTGATCTAGTTAATTATGCTTTTTCATATTTTTTATTTTTATATTTAACAAAAGGATAAATTATAATTTAACCCCTGTGATTTGCATCAAAACACCGAAACCCCCCTATAGTTTCATTTATAACACTTAAACCCCTATACTTCATACCAAAGTTTAATTTCTGATGGACGTAACAGAATTGTAAAAAGTCATAAATGCCCTAAATATTTTACATCCCTCAGTCATTTCATTTCAATTGACTAATACCAATATTCGCATTCTCTCTCTCTCTCTCTCTCTCTCTCTCTCTCTTACCGTGGTTGATTGGATTGAACTAGGGTTTCATCATTGATTTCACCGTCATATTGCGAATGCCATTACTAGTTTAGGTATGTATTGTTTGCCGTAATTTATTTTGATCGTTAGATATTGATTTTCCCTAATTTTGATTCATAATTGATGTGTGTTGACTTCGATTTACAAAATTTGTAATGTTTTACGCATAGTATGCCTGTATTAATTTAATTTTGGGGGATTGTGGTTAAAGTGGGACGGGGCAGTGTAGACCTTCATAAATAATGGGTATTTTTTTTTTTTTTTGGTATAATGTTAACTTTGGCTATTTTTTATTCACATATTTGTTTTTGTATACTTTAGTTTCTATATTCATGCCTTTTATTACTTTATTTTTTGGTATGTTGGTTAAAGTGGAGTAGGGTGAGTTATAAAGGTTCATAAACAACAGGTATTTTTTTTATGATGTTAACTTTGGATTTTTTTATGATGTTGACTTTTTAGATAGGGTATTCTGTTCATATATTCTATTTATAGTTGTATTCATATATTCTGTTTGTGTTTAGAGATTTTGTAATTTTTTATGCATGCCATGCCTGTATTGGTGTAATGTTTTTGAATTTTGGTGAAGGTGGGGTTTATTTTGTTATGGCCCCAAGGAGATTTGAATTAAATATTGAGGAACTGAATTAATAATCAAATATTAATTAAATAGTGTGGTCCAAGGATTATGATTTTTGTTATGTAGTCCAATGATTTTGAGTTTTGTAATGTATTATGTGAACTTTTGTTGTTTTCTACAGTGAGGTAAAAAAATAAAGATTTTTGAGATCAACTTAATGGGTATTTCAGTAAGCCTCCTAATATTGGTTATAAACAAGGGAAAGTGGAATATATATATATATATATATATTGATGTTGATCCTAACAGACTGTTTGTTTTTTAGATTATATGCCATCTTGAGGGAGATGAAGATAGATGTCTAATAGTACTTCTGTTTTGTAGTATAGGAAACCTGGAAAAACTTTAGATAATGAGTTGACAATAATTGAAGAAGATGTTGATGTATATACCATGATATGTGATTATGAAGGTTTAGTTGTGATTGAATTATTTGTGGAGAAGGGTCAAGAACCAATACAAGTGGTAAGTCCAAAAAGGAAACATTTGGTATCCCCAAGAGTACCAGTTACTACTAAGCAGGCACTAACTTGGCATGAGATGGAAAATATAAGTGAAGAAGAGATGGGTTGTGGAGATGGAGTGCAAGATATAGGTGATGAGGAAATGCATAATGGAGATGGGGATGAGAAGCAGCAGATGAAGATGTCAGAGATGAGGAAAGGGATAATAGAGCTTGGGATGAAGAAGATAGTGATGATTCTGATTACATTAATAATGAGAAATGATGATAATGGTTCAGAAGATGAAGACTATGAAAGTGATGAATCTGGCTAGTTGAATGAGGG